TGTCCCTGCCCATGGCGGGGGGGGGGGAACTAGATGGTCTTTAAGGTCCCTTCCAACCCAAATCATTCTGTGATTCTATGATCGCAGATTGTCAGAAATTACCTCCCTCACATAACAACTGTAGTACTGTAGCATTTTAATGTCATGTAAAATATTCCTGTAACATTACATCAACTGTTGCATTTTAAAGACCAGTCAGAGTGTATTTTAATTGCTACTACTGTTTATTTTACTTATATGCACCTGATCTCAATAGTTACTCACATTCCTGAAGGCATTCTGTGTCTGTGCAGTACGACTGGGATTGTCTTAGCTGAAACAGAGAAGAAGAAAGGTGTGACAGTTAGCAATGAGACTTGGTCAGCTTTTACCTAAATCACAATTTAATATAATGCCAGAGCACAAGTTCAAGATAAGGAAGATTATAACTGATCCTTTACTGCACTGCACTTGGCTTATGATGTGTGAAGAATCCCGGGTATGGACGTAGTTTCTGAACACTATTTACATAATACCCTTAAATCACCTGACTAAAGTGTTACTCCTTCCACACAGGTTGCAGCCACTGAATGCTTTCTAAAATTCAAGTGAAAAATCTATAGAGATATATACATTGTTACACACAGATATACTCTCTGCACACACTTTGGGATTTATAATGGATAGGTGTTACTACTATTATCTAGATCAAGTAACATTAAAATACTCTGTGATTATGTAACAATAAATGATCAGGCTGTGATAATGGTTACGCACGAAGAAGCCAAATTAAATTTTTTTTATTTAAAACTTAGCATTTACTATTTTTTCCATCCAAGATATTTTTTTTTAAAAGCAGATATTAATATGAGTGTTATTGGTTTTTTTTCTCTTTACCGATTGGTAAAATTTAAAATGTTTTTAGCAACTGTAACGACTATTTGCATTTACAGACTAGGTAAGCTTGCTAACTGCTGCAGAAGTCAACACTGGCGAACCTGCAAGTCGGTGTAACTATTTTACAGATGACAGAGTCAAAAAAAGGACAAACATCACATTCTTTATCCGGCACAGAGAGGTTAAATGGATGGGAATTGATCTGCTGTATTATGGGAATAAGTTTTATCCTCTCCTAGGTAACCTACACAGATTAATACATTTTTTTTAAAGTACAGAATTGTTACAATGCCTTGATTAGAACTGACATTTGCTTTTTGACAGGTTTTATGTCACAGTAGTGTCACAAATCCCAACATTCCTTGTCACAACAGGCTAATCTGTTTATTATCAGTGTAAGTATACAAATGTAAAAGAGAAGAAAAGATGATGTTCCTTATGAAAGAAATATATGAATAATTTCTACAAATCAAATTTCCCCTTGTATTGGCATAACTGATTTGCTGTATGTAGTCATAATACTATGCAAAGCACATCAAGGAAACAGATGAGCTACCAAAGGAGGAAGACAATTTGAAAAGGCTAAGCTCATTCGTTTATCATCATGATTTTTGATGACTGGTGCATTTGAGAAAGAAAAAATAACTAAAGATTGATCACATCCATTCTTTCATTAATATATTAAGATCCATTAACAGATTTACTGAGACTACAAAGAAGTTCCTTAGGAAGTACTGTGAAGGCTGGATTTAACCTTTCAGCTATTTCTATAGTTAAAAACAACAGCAGAGGAAATTAAAACAAAAGACTTCTACTTACCTTATTTAAAAAATAATAAAATCTAACAAATGAACCATATTTCTGCCCTTCTTATATACAAGTAAAAGTTGGTTTTATTTTCAAACTTTGGAATTCATTCTCAAAGGGAAATTTTTACGTTAGCAATAGTACCAAACTGGAATATCTGACACTGAGAGATTCCTGAACTGGGAAAACTGGGTATCACTATAGCCATATTTTAAAGAGATCAGCAACATAATTATCTTCTGTTTGTATAAGGGTTTAATTCTGGAAGGGGCTTAATTTATAATCCCTACTCTGTAAAACACAGTTTAGAGGTATTCTTCAACATAGAATGATGTCCAGAATTAAAATGGGTAATTTTAGTGGGGACTGTTGCAATAGGACAAAGAGTAATGGTTTTAAACTATAAAAAGGGCATATTTAGACTAGATATGAGGAAGAAATTTTTTACAGGGAGGGCGGTGAAGCACTGGAACAGGCTGCCCAGAGAGTTAGTGGAAGCCCCATCCCTGGAAACATTCAAGGTCAGGTTAGATGGGGCTCTGAGCAACCTGATCTAGCTGAAGATGTCCCTGTTCACTGCAGGGGGGTTGGAGTAGATGACCTTTAGAGGTCCCTTCCAGCCCAAACTATTCTATGATTCTATAATTCTACAGGTATTTGATCAGAAACATCAAACAAGCATATAGCATCTAGTTATCGCTCTGTCCCCAGGATGGCTAGTACTCCTCTAGTTTGCCCAGATAGACAACGCTACCTTGGGGTGTTCTAGCCACAATGTAGTTATCTCCCATTTTAAATGTTATACTCTGTCCAAACACAACTTTTTTAAACCATTCAATTAATGTCTCTACAAAAACCATCCCAAAAAATGGTGCATGTACTTTTTCTCGCTGTTAACATCCTGTTCCTTCACCTGCCTACCAGGCAGGCTTCCCCTGCTACCACACAAAATAAAATGATGGAGCTCCGGCTTTGACTGACATGAATATGTTAACCACCAGAGAAGCTTGTTCAACAACAGAAAGATATTCTGGCTACACCTATGCTTTCTTGAAAAGCAGTCTCAGCAGTGACCATGATTACACATGCTTTGTCATTCACCATCAACAATGTCTTCATGAAAAGCCTTCACACTGTCTGGAAATGCCTGTTGATGTAGGAGGCCCCCTGATGAAGACAGAGTAAGTATTAAATCTTGGAGATTTTGTGGGCCCAGAGGGTTCACTCAGATACTGAGTTTTAACCTGCAGGCACCCTTGATGATTTTACAAAAGACAGGACAGGCTCCAAGACCTTAGAATGAAAAGTACTACTGGAAACACCAATGATAGAAATATTACAGTAAGCAAACAGTCTTAAGAAAAATACCATTAGGAGCTGTTCTACTGATCTCTGCTGAAAAAAATGCTCTTACATTAGGTTATATCCTGCTAATATGGAAAAAAATTCTGCTTCTGTATGGAGGAACAATGTACAGAGGAACCTTTACAAAGCAGAGAGCCATCTGTACTTTGATAATGGGGCTGTGCTTTCCAGAGGGCTTGGACAACAAACAATCAATTTTTTTCACGGGGATTTAGAAACTAACTGTACAAGGTAGGTTTAGAAACCTCAAGTTATACCGTGAAACAGTTACAAGAGAAAAGTATGGAAAAAATGCACTTTTTATAATTTGCATTAAATTCCTCTGAATTGAAAATACATAATCATAGAATTTATATTAAATTACTCTAAACTGAAAACAATACATACTCATATAGTCACATAGATTTAAAGATCCCACCTACAAAAAACTACACTTCATAGTCTCTGCTACATTCATATCCAGCAATACAAATATTTCTTAGAAATATTTCTCAACTATTCCAGGTAATAGAAAAATTCCCTAAAAAAACTACTTGTGATGGAGAAGATTTGGTCAGAACAGGACCACCATAGACTCAAAGAAGTTTTAAGAAGCCAAAGATCATATGATAAAGACACACTCAAATACCTTCTCACCCTCACTTCCCCTCCTGACTACAAGCACGTGCAAAACCTCAGTATCCATGAGCAAAGGCTCTAGGAGGGCTCTGTAAGCCAGGGAGCCAGGTAACAGATCTGGTTTTAGCAGCTCAGTGACGGGCTCCATATTGTTCTCTTGGGATGAAACACGGCAGATGACGGAAAACGAGTAGCAGTAAAAACAGGTTTTTCTTAGTTCACGCGGGTGAAGTAGTTCCCAACTCTGTAACCCAATACAAATCTGATCCCTTGTGGTCACTCGATTAATCAAAAGATGAGAAACGATCCTGGCATGTGTATGAAATGATTACATAAGCTGAATGGCTGGGAAAGGTAATGCCTTTTGCTGAAACAAGAATGCTCCTTCTACTAATTAGCACTCTCTTGGTAACTACACCCTTAAGGGACATAGGAACTGTTGGAAAAAAAATTGTGTGTGAGACATTTCAACCGTAAGGTAATTGAAAAAAGAGCAGTTATCACGGTCTGGCAATGAACAGTCTGTTGTATTCAGATTTTCTGTTCCAATGTGGAGGGGGAGTTTGGATGAAAGTTTGAGGAATAATAGTAAAAACTTCAATCAGACCTTCCCTCTTCTCATCAAAACCCTTAAAAGGACTTTTCAAATACTCTCAATGTTTTTCAGACTGAGAACACTACAGAGTCGATGAGAAAAGTCTGAACGGAAAAGTAATTCTTAGACTACGCTAACTCTTACATACTTAAAGGTTTTATTCATATTTCAGAGATCTTTGTGTTGTCAAAAATGTGAAATTTAGTGGAAGATTAATAGTTGACTGCCTGATTTGACACCTGCTAAAGTCAGCAACAGCCTTTTCACATTTTTCAGTATATTCTGGAACAGGCCCTTAAAAAGAACACTAAATATTTACAGAAATTATTATTTTCTTCCATTTAAATGAAGAGGATTATATCTGAATTTTAACATCTCCGTGTGGTTTGTCATCCAAATACAATAAACGGCTTAGGGCATGTGAGCCAAAAATTTAACTGATTTATCTTTTATTGTCCAAAATGAAGTAAACACAAATTGTAAACAGCATGAAAGCTAAAAGGGAGCTAAAAAGGCTCCAAAATTTTTAGTTTTAATACACTGCAAACTTGCAGGCAATACAAGTAAAAATACTAATTAGAAATGCACATTATTTAAAATACAACTGTGAACTTTAATTCCCTCCAAGTACATTTAAATCTTGAATAGATTAAATGAAAATAATTTAAAATAATAATTCCCAAACCACAATTGGACACCACTAACTCTTGGACAATATGAGTATTTGTTTTCTATGAAGCCCCTCATAAGGTCTTGGAACTGGGAGGCAACAGTGGCTGAATTACAGCAACTCAGTGTCCACTTACTGACATATTTTGAACATAAACCCAACACAATGCTGAGAAAAAAAGACACCGAGTTACTTCTAGTGGTAAGAGAGAAAAGGGCTTTTTCTTGCTCTTTCCCCACGACACTCAAATTCTGCATTGCAAAAATAAAGAGTATATTTCAAATGGCTCCTAGTTCCAACTTGAAATGGCTTCTCCTTTCCTTTTTTTTTTTTTTTGCTCCTTTGACACTATATATAAAGTACAGTTTTAACATGCTATCTT